AAAAGATTCATATGCATTGCATCTTCATTTAAAATTGCTCTAATTGTAGTAATTATACAATAAATATTTCATTTACTTGTTATACTACTAAAATGTCTGAGTGGCTGATTTGGGGTCTCAGTGTTTCTGGATTTTGGGGCCCAATGGTTTCCAGGACAAAGCCATCTTTAGTGCTGGATGGGATTAACTGTCCAACGAAAGACCCAATACACAACTGGGAGGTCCTCCTAGACTCACAACAGGTCCTCCTAGACTCAATGAGCAGGTGGCAGTTGTGGCTGGGAGCAACATTGCCCAGCTTTGTGTTGTGTGCCAATTGCACCTGTTCCTGGATCAGCAGACACTGCATGCCCAACTCACCTCCAGATGGGATTATTGAAATGAACTCTATATGGGACTGCTCTTGAAGAATATCAAAAGTTTCAGCTTGTAAAAAAACAGTGGTGCGGGCAGTTATATGTACTCTTAGAATAGCACGTTATACCTTTGTTCTGTAAGCTGCATTGGTTGTCAGATTGCTTCCAATCCAACTGCAGATGTTGTTTTTGACCTATAAAGCCCTTCATGGCATGCGTCTGGGCTATCTCAGAGAATGCATTTCCCTAGTTACAACAGTCCTTCCCATTTTGCCAGGATAGGCATGCTGCAGGTACCATCAGCATGGGGGGGGGGGTGTTTCCCATGCTCCATGTTTTCTTCGTTTTATGGAATATTTTTTCCTGCAAAGTTAGGTTACTTCCACCCTTTTGATATTCCACAACCTATAGAAGGCTCTCAAAACCTTTTATAGTGTAAGGTCTGGGGTTCTCAGGGAATTAAAGACTTGCTGAAATTGCTCCATTCCTGAGATAGCTAGTTTTAGTTTACTCCCTCTTTTCTCCTTTTATGCCTGTTTTTGTATGCCTGTTTTTATATTATGTACCATTTATATATTTTTGCATACCATTTATATGTATTTTTGGCTTCTATGATGTGGTTTTACCCATTTATGGTGTGACATCCAAAGGCATCTTCAGTGAGAAGGGTAGCTATATAAATTTGATTAATGAAATAAATAAATAGATAAATAAAATGTCAGCATTACCAATAAGAGATATAAATATGCGTGTACATGTGTGTATGCATATATATTCTTTCAGTGAATAAATGAAGAATGAATTAGCTGGAAGGCATCTTGGAGATCTTTAGTCCAGTTCCTGTTCAAGCAGGAGATTTTATACCATTTTATACCCTATACTATTTCAGATAATAGACTCTAGACTCTTCTTAACCTCCAGTGATGAAGTACTCATAACTTTTGAAGGCAAGCTGTTCTACTGGTTAATTGTCCTCACTGTTAGGAAGTTTCTCCTTAATTCCAGGTTGCTGCTCTCTTTAATTAGTTTCCAACCATTGTTTCTTGTCTTGCCCTCCGGTGCTTTGGAGAATAATTTGACTCCCTCTTCTTTGTGTCAGCCCCTCAAATCCTGGAATACTGCTATCATGTCACNCCTTACAAAAGATCACAATGAAAAGATAATCATGCTCAGTTTTTGGAAAGTGATAGAATTATATTTTCTGAAACAAGAATTATTGGACGGGGCTCTCATCATCTGCAGAAACAGTATTATATAAGTCTACCACCAAGGTTGTCTTCCGGGACAGGAGACTTTATTTTCAAAGAGAAAGCAGCTTATTATCTAAAGCCATTTCTTTCTATTTAGACACATAGACATTGGGCCTTTCAGTTCACACAGGAGGTCACACGTTAATTCTCCTGACTGTCCTTTCATTTGGGATGGCAGGAAGATAACTAAAAAAAAAGAAAGAAATCCATCTGGTGGGATTTGATAGGATTTAAAAATGGCAGGTGATTGACTACCCTGGTCCTAATTATGACTGCTATGTTTATACACCGATGAAAACTGCATTGCACATGTAGTGGCTTTTTCGTTCAAAGTTTGGATGCTTGGTACTTTCCTATATTGTAAAGCAAAGGAATTTGATATCAGTGTCATCCAATTGGTTTTGTTTCCTGACTATGCATAACATTGGTGGCAGACTATGCTGGACTGCTTTACTGGCATTACTGTTGTGGCCTGCCAGCTGTTAGCAGAGCTGGCAGCAGATTCAGACAACGATGTTGGGGAAGAACTTGGGCCAGTTCTGGACTTTGCAGAAGGCTCTGATGGATGGTCGGCATTGGACAGAGAGATAGAGCCAGGGCTGTCCAGCTAGAAAGTCAGTTGCCTTTGGAGTCAGAGATGGAGGAGGAGGAGGAATAGTTGGCACCTATTCCAGATGCGCATATGTACAGAGCAGATAGGAAAGGTTAACAATGGAGGACGATGCTCTGGCTCAGGAAGCAAAACAAACAGGGACACTGACTGGCCCTCCCTGGCTGAGGAATAAATAGGAGAAAAGGGGAGTAGTTTGGTTGTCACAACCAACTTTCACATTTCTGGAAAGTTTGCTCCTTGTGTGTTTTGTGCGAGAAAGACTGCTGTGCCAGAACTGAGGACTCTTGCCCAGACTTTCTGAATACAATTAATTCCCAAGGTGTAAATAAAGAGGGGGTTTTCTTCGCGAGGAGTTTGTTTCTTGCTTGTTTCTTGTGAAGGTCAGATCAGAACAATTACTTTTGTCATTGCTCTATAATCCAGATAGCATTTTCTTAACTTCTGATAATTCATCATAGAAAAGCTTTTCTTACCTCTATTCCCTTTCATTCTTGAAGGTCTGCAGAGTTCTCACTTGTGGGAGTTTGTACGAGATCTTCTCTTGTCCCCTGAGGAGAATTCCGGCATCCTTGAATGGGAAGACAGAGACCAAGGCATCTTTCGTGTTATCAAATCTGATGCTTTGGCAAAGATGTGGGGACAAAGGAAAAAAAATGACAGAATGACCTATGAAAAGCTAAGCAGAGCACTCCGGTAAGTTCATATTTTAAGAAGCCATATCTAATGCAAGTAGGAGCTGGGCATTTCTAATATGTTATAACAGATTTATACAATCTTCTTTGGTTTCTCATCATTTCCAGACCCAATTTGAGTGCCTTCATTGTTTGTTTGTTTATATTTCATATTTCTTAACTGCCCATCTCCCTCAGATGCCTATATTAGCCTATAAGGAGCTATCATCATACCTAAAGAATTGCTCTTCCAATTGTTTTTACTCTGTTCTTAGTGCCCTCCTAAGCTGAGTGTTTTTTTAAGATTTTTTTTTTTACTAAGGTTTATTATAGCATAAAATACAATGAAAATAAAAGTTAAAAGGAGGGGAAGTGCATGAGGGGGGAAAATAAGAAAAAAGGTGTTCTTCTGACTCTTTCCAACACAGTAAAATACTATTTCAACTTTTTACTTTATCAATAATTATTATAAGCCAGTTAAAAAACTACACAATTATTAAATCATCAAACCAAATTTTGATTTTTTTTCTACTTAAAGCATAAAAACCACAAGCAATATTCCAATAGCAATAGCAATAGCAGTTAGACTTATATACCGCTTCATGGGGATTTCAGGCCTCTCTAAGCAGTTTACAGAGTTAGCATATTTCCCCCAACAACAATCCAGGTCCTCATTTCACCCACCTCGGAAAGATGGAAAGCTGAGTCAACCCTGAGTTGGTGAGATTTGAACAGCCGAACTGCAGGCAGGCGGTGATCAGCAGAAG